GAAATTGGGGAAAACTACAATTTCAATTTTTTTCAATTTTAAAGCCATGTGATTTCGAAATCTGAACAGGTTATAACTAATGTAGATATTCTTAAGAAACCCTTTATTCTGAACTTTTTAAATCATATTTCGTAATGCGCCAATCTTACATAATCACGGAGTTTATATTTAAAATTTCAAAAAGCAAAACAAAACAATCGAAATTGACTTGAGCCCTGTAACTACGAACCTATTGAGCTGTGAACGTCGTCTTCATGCAAAAGTTTTGTCTACTTAGGAAGGCCTATACAATCGTATATAGCAGTGCACTCTGTTAAGAGCCACTTGAAGTAGTCGTCTCTGTTATGAACTTGTATATATATTCTTGCTCAGCGTAAAATTCTGCGTTGATTTAGACATGTCCATTTTTTGTAGATTTATTTTTCAAAATAAATATTTTTATATATGTATAGGGCCTTTGTTTAAAACACCAAAGCCTATAGACAAGAGTCGCAAAAAATGATACGGCTGTGAGGTGAATCCAAATAAATTTACAGCATACCAGGGCATCAACGGATGTCCTGGTTCACAGATTTGTGAAGGATCACTTCGACATCGCCTTTATCCAAGAGCCATACATAAACACTAAAAAAACATATCTTTCCATTCCAGGTTATTATTACAAGGATTTGGTAGCTGTGTAGGTGAATACGAGGTTCCTGGGGGTTGGATAGAGTTTGTTGGTGACTGTACGCTTCCAGACGAACAATTGAAGGAGCTAATGGACTTATGTGGAAGGAAGAACTTCCAGTTGATAGTTGAAAATTCCAATGCCCACCACACCATCTGGGGAAGTAGTGATATAAATAAAAAAGGTGAGTGCCTACTTGAATTTACATATAGTAATAAATTTACGATTATGAATGAAGGCCGACAAGAGGCCGTAATAAATGTAATTGGGGAAGAGGTTTTTGACATCACCTGTGTTTATCAGTAATAGAGTTGGTACATGTCATGTCTTAAGTGAGACAATTATGCCCGCATCGAATTCACTCCCAATCCACATGTTGGAGTCAATTCGAATCGCTTTTCGTGGATGGTGTCAATTCCGTGTCACTTCTGTCAGAACGAGTCCTAATATTATGTTATCTGCAAGTCGTTGCACAAACGTGGGATTGATGCGACGACGAGTAGATGTGTTTGACGGATACTACAGGATAGCATAATTAAGTCCACCATAGGTGACGACGCATTCTTTACCTCCGCTGAAAAAGGATTTCAGATTTCGAAATCATATATGGGCATCTGGGGCTACGCTGATAATGTAGCTATCATCATACGAGGAAAATTTTAGAACTCGAAACAACAGAATGTATGTTATTGAAAGGTGTAGAAGCGTGGGGTTAAGTATAAATCCCAGCAAAAGCATCCTATTTGTCTTCACCAATCATAGAAGCAGGGATAAATTAACGAATCTAATTCCGTTTCGTGAACGTATTGGTTATTCTACAGAATACTTATATAAACAAAGTCATCAAGAGGGCTACAATGCATATAGACGTGTAGGAGTTTCGATAACAAGGCCTGCGGCATCTGTCCTGCGATAGCACTGGTTATACACGGCCCTTATTAGACCCATCGTCCCCTACTTATCGATCGTGTGGTGCCGTAGAGTTTACCAGACGAGTGCGGAGAAAAATCTATTCGTGTTTTCTACTTCGAACGTCATAAGCGTTCCACGTTCAAATTCAAATTTTATTTACTGACATTTCCAGAAATCGCTTCGGGGTTATAAGATATATGTTAAGATATCTATTCTTCATACTTTAATTCTTTGTAGTATGTCAAACGTCACTTGCAATATGCTACTGCTAACTTCTTTAAGTTTTTGCATTGTATTACTGTCAATTTTAGTTATCATTTAGTTATCATTTAGTTTTCATGCCTTTTTTAGGTCTTTATCTATATAAACTTCTGAAATTTTGGAAGCTACGTTACTTGTGAGTATGTAACATAATTTTTTACCTTATTTGATGTAAAAGCATTAATCGTTCTTGGAGTCCCTTAATGATTACCCTCGAACCGGTTAGGCCGATTTGGGTTTCTAACTATTACTTTGATTGGCCGCTTCTATTTATTTTCATTAGAATGCTGTCCAAATTCGACTTTATTAAAAGCTTGAGTTAATTGCCTATATTCGTTTTCATTTTCAACATTAATCTTTGCTCGATCATTGATCATCATTTTTAGCGATTATTTCTGTTTTTTAAGTTGAGCAATTTTCCTCGGTGGAAATTCCTCTACTTTAGTGCTATTCATTTCTAGTGCCCGCTCTGTTTCTTGTAAACTATTACCTTTTCTCTTCTTTGAGTTTCTTTTGACTTAAAGAATCCAATTGGTTTCTCTAGAAAACTCTTTCTCATCAGTTTCGTACACGACATGGTTCTTAGATTTTGTGCTTGTAGCTTACAGATCCTTTCTTTAAGCTCCTTACACAGGTCCCAATGTAACGGGCTTTTTACATTACCTTCATATATTTTACTTTTGTTATATTCTTCAGACTTTCTTTCTTTATAACGTTCTATGGTTTTTCACCTAACTTGAGCCATAAGGGGAAATCTTGCAACTCTTGAGCTCTTGCCAAACGGGCTCATTGATTTTGTAGGTGATCTTTTTTTCACTGGCAACTTCTCTGAACATTTTGACTATTAAACCAAGCCCTCGCCGACACCCGTGATTTCTGCCGATAATTTGGTGTCGGATGACAGCTATACAAGCACATAAATTCTAGTATACGTGGGCTTGTCAACTTACTATCATAAAATTAGTACGTCGTCATTTAGACTGGGCACTAAACATTTATTAAAACTAATTAATATTGCAATCATCTGCAATTTTGCAGTTCCAACAAGGATATTATAATTTCCTTTTTGGTTATTTAAGGCGTTTGCGAATATTTTTTTTTAGAAAAGAGTAGAATATTTGTTTGAAAATAGGTTCATGTTAAGTTTTTATCTCAAAGCGTTCAGAGTTCAAAACTCGTGTTCTTTTTATGAACAGAATATGATTGCACTCTATATTTTCGAAAAAAAATTTAGATTTTTATTTGATCTCATATTTTTTTTAATACTTAATATTTGAAAATTATTAAATTATACATTAATCAGACATTAATAGAATCTGTTGTGTTCGCTTTCAAAATTAGAGTTTTCACATTATAAAATTTTATTTTTTATTGTGAAAAATCTATTTTTAATTAAACATTTAAATAAATTGTGTTAAAAATTCGTGGTTTAGGAATTTAAATACATACTTTCAGAGCGTGATCTACGTGCTGGAAAATAATTTAAAATTTTTCACAGGTCGTTCTGTCAAATAGCAAAAGTACACTTTTTGAACAGTAGAAAAATTTATTCAAATTTGCAAGTTGTGTGCATTACTTTTACATTTTAAATTTGAAAAGTTATTGATCAGTCCACGTTCTAACAAATTTCATTTGAAAATAGCGATGCGAAATGTCAGAATTTATCTTGAGAAAATATATTTAAATGGATTGGCCGGAATTAAGCTAAATTACCGCCACATATTTCACCGTCGGTAGCGAAAAAGTCCAAATTTCCCTTTTACGACTGGCGTTGAAATAGGCTAAATTTCTATTTTACCGCTGGCGGTTTTTTTTTTGACTTTATCTGCATGCATAACATGTGTGTGCATTAAATGTAAAATACTGTACAGTTGATTTTGTCGCTCAACTGTTTCAGTTAAGAACGAATATCGTCCGCCGTTGCCGTATACCACTTCGATTATGTTTTTACAATTAAAAAACAAAAACGTCAAAATATAAACTGAAATACTTTCAATTTATCACATACATACTATGTGTAGTAAAATAACAATCTTACCCTTCATTTCCCTTTAAATCAAACGACAACTCTAGTTGAAAAAAAATTCAAAAATGACAATTTGGTTGTCTTTTTTCAACCTTCTTGCTCCAATCTTTACGGCCAAAAATTAGCTCCACGGCTGATTTTTTTTTTAAAATTATGCTATAAATTGTATATAATGCTTGTAATTTTGGGGATTTAATATGACCATTTTCTTATAAGGAAATATAAACTTACTTTGATAAAACTTAAAAACTTAATATTGAAAACATTGCAAATTTTTCATGCCAAATATTAGAAAGCTTTTAAAAACTTTATAATGTTTTATAAAGTTTGAAGTTTGCATGCACTTTAATATGGGATAATACTTTTCGAACCAAAATGAGAGAAAATAATGACATTTTCATTTTCTCAATTTTTAAAGTTTTCAAAATTGTAAAATAAAATTTAGTGTTTAGTGTAAACACTAAATTTTACTTTACAATTTTTACAATTTAGTGTAAAGTAAAATTTAGTTTAAAAACTTTTAAAATCTTGCAGCTGATGTAATAAATGTTTTTTTTGGTTATGTTAGAAGGTTTTATTTTTAAAAAAAAAATTTTTGGTCAACAATAATTTTTTTTTCAAAACTTTTTAATTAAAAGTAAAATGAAATAAACCAAATAGATTCGCGAATGGTTTTTCTGAGTTTCACACTTTTATAATCCAAAATCAAAACTTCTGGTTTTTGGTATAACTGAAAAGTACCGGTTTATATATGATAAATACTTTGAAATTTGATGTTTGTCACAAATTTATAAAGTTTTTAAAAGTTTTTTCAAGTTTTCCGTCTGGTTTATTTTTTTTTTAACCGAGAATTTTGTTTTTTGTTTTTGCGAGAAATAACGTCATTATTTCTCTTTTTAAAGTTCTTTCAAGTTTTATCCCTCACAGACCTATTATGTTATGTTTCAAAAATCAGTTTTGGCTCTTTTTCCTTGAATTTGGCCCTTATTTTTTCGTGAGTGGTAGCCCTGCTTTCAACATTTGAAGTTTCGTTAAATTTTTTTATAATACTTTCAAAAAAGGTATGTTATGTCATTGTCATACTCACACATATTAGTTTTGGACATTCAAAAGCTTTTTAGACCGTCCGGCTTTTAACAAAAACAAAAATAATTCAATGTAATCAGTGGCAATCTGTATATTTGACTTTTTCGTCCGTATTTTTGTACGGGTGTTTAAATTGTCTTTTTGTAAATTATTTTTATTTTATTTTTGTGAAGGTTAAATTATAATTGGCAATTGTGGGCAAATTTGATTAAAAATTTCATATGTTATTACAACTTTTTTGTAAAGTTTTTTTTTTATTTAAGTCGAATTATTAATTTCCTTTAAATACGAATCAATCTATTCTAAATAAGTTTAAAATTGTAACACTGTTTTGAAAAGTTTTAAGAATTGTAAAATTCTTTAACTTGGAAATAAAAGAATTTACTGTAGGTTGAATAACAGATTGAAAAGGTAAGGAAATTTGGAGCACTTTAAAATAGTATGTACATCTATTTATGTATAGATAAATAAATTTTCAAATACAAAAATTGATGTTCATTTTACTTAAACAATAAATGGAAACGCGTGTTGAGAAAGGCTTCAACTTTACCGAAAAGGATGTTGGAAATCATAAGTAGAATTTGTATTTTTAGAATTCTATTTAAAGATAATTGCATTTTTTAGAAAAAAATGTGGATTTCTTTTTTGGAAGGAAATAAAAAGTACTCGGTTGCATAATATTAGGAAATCAACTTCCACTATGAGATTAAATTATAAAATCGTTGGTAGAACATAATGTTATTTTTGGGATTCGTAAATGTACTGTTGTGCTTCATTTCCAAAGGAAAAATTCAATATGTACATGTGTAATGCTAATGAACATATTTACATTGTAAATTATAAAATATTTAAAGTAGGTAGAGGGCTGGGTATCCTATCGGATGCTTGTAAAAATGAAAGTTCTTAAACATTGTAATGAACGTTCTATATTTTACATAATATGTTTAATTTACGCAGTATGAATTGCATTACAAAATATTTAAAAGCGTGCATAATTCGTTATTTCTGATTTTTACTTTGTTAGCTTTGCAAATATTGTTATAATGATTGTAATAAAAATTATAAGCAAATAATGCAATTTAAATATTTAAAATAACGAAGAAATGAAGGCGCTCATACTTTGCTTAGTTCTCTATGCAATACGATTGCTAGTTTTTTTTAATTTACATAATTGGAGGTTATATACCTACTTACATACATATCTATGTACAAAAATATTTGCGTATTTTATCAATTTGGTACATAATTATTTATTTGAAATTTTATGTGCATAATATCAATTTAACAAAAATTTTTTTATATTTAAATTTTTTTTTGTACCTTAGCAAGAAAAATTAGCTTTTGTACTATGATGATGAGATGATTTGGCATAAATTGTTTACTCTGTGGTTATAAGAAATTTCAAAATCTAAATTTACAAGTATACCTACGTACTTATCTACATAATAATTAAATATAAAAACTTTCTTATCTGATAATTAAAAATAGAATTACTTTTAGTAAAATATTTAAATAATAATTTAGCAGAACACTTTATTTTTCAATTAGGATTCATAAAAGTTCCGGGGTCTTACTATGTAATTCGATTTTCGTGAAATGATTGATTTTGGTATAGCGATCTTGATTTAGATTTTGGTATTTGATTGGTGCTTATCTTACCATTTTCCCAAATATGAAAATCGTTTCACGAAAATCAAATTAAATAGTAGGGTGCCAGTATTTTCCTTTTTGGAATTTGAATTATTTAGGTGTACCTATATGTTTTAATGATACGCTACATATGTAAGCGTATCATTAAAAAAGTTTTACGTTTACTACTTGAATGGAAAAGCTCAATTTTTCTATTTATTCAACTTATTTTAAGTTCAATTTGTTTTTTTTTTTTTTACTTTAAGTGCTCGTAATTAATTAACACATGTTTACTAATTTACTCTTAACTTAATAGTTTTTAACATATTCAGTTTAACAAAATATTTTCACATTATTTTATCAATAAAGATTTGCTATTTTAACTTTTTCCTAATAGAAGGCAGGCACTTTATGAAAGTAAAAGTTTTAATTTTAATATTTGCTTAAGTGCTTTATCAGGAGTTTAATTTTTGTGCAATAATTAGCTTCTACTTATGATTTTTTGATCATTTTTAATTTGAATAATTGATTATTTGACAAATCTAAATGGTTTTATTTAAATAAAATAAGGTTTTAAAGATACTTAATTTTTATTAGTTACATGCAATGTGTGTAAAAAGATATCTACGCAATAATGAAGCACACTAGTCATGTACTTGTATTACAGCTTAATATAATATTTCACAACTCGTTTTAATTTAAGTTTTTGATCACTTAAAATTAAATTTATGTTAGTTTTTATATATATGTATAATATCAACAATTTTTTCTTTTTAAATTCAAATTTCTGAGAGTCGACAGAGTATTAAATTAAATTTAAAGACTAATTGTTAAAATTAGGAATGAAGGTAAAAAAGTATTCTTTTACATTCATGCGATGAATAGTAGCTTATATTCTTTTTTTTCTCTTGCCTAAAATATTTCATTATCTTTTCAAGCAAAACCAGTTCATTAATGTATGATAAGTTTTTTATTAAATATTAAAAATACAATGAACTCTTCCAAATTATGAAAATAAAATTATTCACAAAAACATAATATTATAGTTTTTTCCTTTGTTTTGTTTATCTCTTTGTTATTTATTTCTTATTACAACATATCGCAAACTTTTCTTTTTATATTTGAAAATATTTCTTTACTTTTTGCGTATGAGAGAAAAGAAATCTACTTATATTGTAAATAATATTATAAAGGGTGATTCTGTAACGTGCTAGTCGCGTTCCCGCCTGTAATATACTTGTTCTAAGTATAAAACTGGAATTAGACAGCAGTTCGTGAACGCTCAGGAAACCCTTCGCAAGACAGTCGCAAAGAATGTGCGGTTCCGTCATCGCTCGGAAATCTGCACAAGAGCGAGTCCTATCTCCCCAGCTTATGCAGATGATACTGAGCAGTGTCTAGAAAACCGGTTTCTAACCATCCCCAACAACTAAACTAAACTTTCGGGATGTTTGTGTGTGAACGCGTGTATCACAAGTTCGACCGAATCGATTTTGATGAAATTTTATATGTGAGTTTTTTTTTTGGCTCTCCGATTTTCTTGTAATTTAATATTTAAATTCGGGTTGTTAAAACAATAAACCTATAAAATTTTTGGAAATATCTTTCACATTTTTACCATATCTACGAAATTAATTGATGCAATTTCTTGAAATTTTATATTTAGGCCTTGTTTTTTACCGAAACTAGCTGGTCAACTTTTGAGGAAATTCGGATGGCACAAAGCGAAACTGTGTTAAGAGCCAAATTTACATTTTTTTTAGATATTTTCGTTAATATATTTATGCCTTTCTTAGGTCAATTTTAAGGACTTTGCTAATGTCCTTAAAATTGGAAAGAGGTGTTGAAATTGCATTTTTATAATCTTCTGTAACACTTTCACTAAACTAGGTAATGTACATACATTGTAGTCGGTTATGTGCTGATCACATTAGATTTCTTTGAATGTTATCTAATTTCATTTAAAAATTTTGTTGCAATCTCAAATTTTTTAAAATTGTATGACGCATATACTATCATGTATTTAGTGCTTTTTATGCTTTTATAACTTTTACTATTTAAATTATATTTTATTTTTAGACATTCAACAACGATATTTTTTTTTTAGAAAAACAATTCAATTTAAAATATAACATAAAAATAATTAAATTTTCATTACAATATTTTAGAATACTTTTTTGGGAAACTCAGCTGATCAATTATCAACTTTTAGCATTTTTTAGCTTCACTTTTAGTCCTTGAAAAGGAATGTTCAAGAGTATTAGCTATTTTCCATTTCGATGACCAGGTAGAAATACTCTATTCGACGTATTACATTTCTATAAATCTGATAAACTATTCTTGCTTTGCAATCATATATTGCTTAGATACAGGCAATAATTTCCCTTTTCCAGTTTTAGGCTGCCATATGAGTATTGAGCAACATTTGACAATTTAAATATGACAGCAACATTTGAGCATTTAAATATGTTGCTTTTTTTCGCTTTTGTACTTTAGCAACCTTTTTTGAGTTTCAATCAAGAATCATGATATGTATACAAAAATTGCATATGAACTAAAATATAGAAAAGCGATAGATCGCTAGACAAATTGGATTCTTAAAACGAAAAGAAACTCAACGAGCAAAGCTAAGAGTTCACCAGAAAATGGAACCGGCATCGGAAATGAATAGTACTGAAGTAGAGAAGTACGTGAAGGTAAACATGATAAGCAATGAACAACCAAAAATTAATGTTGAAAATGAAAATAAAAACAGACAGCTGCCTGTATTCTACACTAAAACTAAAATTGGGATGGCATACTAATGAAAATAAATGGATGGGGTCAATTTAAGTAATGTTCAGAAACTTCACGTGAGTCGCAGTAGCATTTTAATTGTGAACTGTTAGTTTATCAGATCAATCACGTAAGCCGTAGGATATTAAGTGTGAACTTATCCAAAAGAGATCCAAATGCGTAGATGTCAAATAAAATTAAAAAAAAAAAGAAGATTACATGAATGCTACTAAAATGTTTCTCTTTTTCAAGTTGTCTTTCGACTATACCGAACACATAAATAAAATATATAAAATAGAATATCTTGAGCACATGAGAGTAAAAGTTGAACCTTTTAGAATGGGTCCATCCCGCAATGCAAGAGATGCCAGAATTTCGAACATAACACAAAGATTTTGCGAAAGGGGGGCTAAATGTGTAAAATGTGCTGTTAATGTGACAGCAGAATGTAATAAAAAAGATAACTTTCAGGCAACAAGGCACACCCTGTCAGTTGTCGAAGCTATTTAGTGGCTAAGGAATTACAAAAAAGGAGGATTAAAGGAAATCGGCCTAAAAGGGTCCTGGGTAATCGTAAAGGGACCCCAAGAACGATTAATGCTTTTAAAGGTAAAAATGGTGTTATATACCTAAGAAAGGCATAAAATCTAAAGAAATTGATAATAATACAATGCAAAAACCTCAGCCAATAGACAGTAGCATAATGCAAATGACGCTAGACATACTACAATGAATTGACGAAATCTCAATGAGATTACTTGCTATGGATAGATGTTAATATATATCTACCAACCCCGAAGCGATTTCTGAAAAATGTCAGTTAATAAAATACGAATTAGAACGTGGTTAGTAAATAAAGTACGAATTGGAGCGTCTCTTGTCAGAAACACATTTGGGAAGTTGGGAAAGAATTTGGTACCAGCTCACCTTGTTAACTATTCAAGAGGAGCTATTTCAATTTTAATAGGGAAACCACGAACCATAATGAGGGATCCTAAATAGAGACG